ACATTTTTGTCGGCCATTTGTTCAGCTATTAGCCCGTGAAAAATTGGTAGGTGCAGACTGCCTTGTACTACAGTGCCCCAATACATTTGGCCCATAATGGCTGAAGAGTGAAGACGACACAACGTAACACATGCACTCGTATCTTTAGTACCACCTTGCTAGTTCGAGTGGATGTGAGGGAGAGCACTGCCTATAAATTAGAGGCCACTGAATCATCACTTAGTACTAGCTGTGTCCGGTCCCGTTGACCTACAGTACAAAATATAACACATACATCGCCTAAATGAAATAAATAGTGTTTGACCCAAGGGATGCCCGGTAGGGTCGGGTTACCCGATGGGTACGGGTGTGGGTCTATTTGCATGCCCATGGGTAGGGTCGTGGGTTTGGGAAGGACCCGATAATGTTATCGGGCATGTGTCTGGTAGAGGTTCACCCGACCAAACCCGACCCGATTGCCAGGCTGAGACGGGAGAGTTGTTGGTGATGATGAAGATGATGATTTCCCCCTCCGGGAGGAAAGTTCCCCTAGCAGAATCGCTCCGCCGGAGGGTAAAACTGCTCCTGGCCAAGTTCAGCCTCGAGACGGCGGCGCTCCGTCCCGAAAGTCCTGTTTTTTTAGGTCAAAATGACTTGTATACCAGAAGATGGACACCGGAGGTGGGTTGGGCTGAGCACAACCCACCAGGGCGCGCCTGGGGGGCCAGGCGCGCCCTGGTGTCCTGTGCTCACTAGGTGGCCCCCTCCGGTGGTTATTTTCTCCAGTATTTCTTATTTATTCCATAAAAAATCCTCGTAAAATTTCAGCCCATTTGGAATTATGCAGAATAGGTGGCCTGATGTAGCTTTTCTAGGTTCAGATTTCTAGCTGCCGGAATTCTTCCTCTTTGTGTGTATCTTGCAAATTATGAGAGAGAAGATATTATAATTACTCTAAAAAGTATTATTATGGATAAAAACATTATAAATAATAGTAGGTAAACATGATGCAAAATGGACATATCAGGGTTCAATATGGAGAAAAATTCCATTTATCGAATCATGGAAAATCACTCTGGAAGTTTCATTATCGGTGTATACTTATGAACTTGCTGGAAGAAGGTAAAGTGTGTTATGATTTGTCTTTAGATCTAGTTTTGCTTAGAGAATCTGAAAAGTAACAACCCAAGATATTGTCCTGGCTCTTTTTTACCAAAACTCTGGAGAGGCAAGTCCCTGAGTTTTAAGCATCGGTGAGAAATAGTGCTTATGGAAATTATGACCTTGAGTATCGTACTATCACTATAAAATTGGTGGTGGTTACTACATTTTCATAACTTCACACTGTAGATCTCACTATTTCTTTGTATGAAGTAACCAGACTAACTTTTCTCATTGATACTTGATGTGCATACATATGCCACTGGAAATTTGAACGTGTCATGAACATCAGGAGATTGAGACGTTCTTTTTCAATAATATGCATACAAGATAAACGAATGCTAAAGAGGAAATCTAGCAAACTCTTTTTCCTGGAATAAAATATATGTACTAATTAGGCCAAGAACCAAATTACCAGAAGTGGTGGTCATTTGCCCCTATACTACATATTAGATTTGAACACTATGTGTGACCTTGCTAGTATCATATATCTAACCTGGACAAGAGGACACACACACACACATGACCACAATAGCAGAGCAGAAGGCAGCAACCAAAAATGGAAGGAAACAAGCTCTCCCCAACGGTACCCAAATCACACAAGTGCACGGCATGGAGCGAAACACTACTACTAAATCAACCACCTGTCATCTATGTTGAGGAAACACGAAGCCACGCAGTACGGGACACACATATATTCTCACAAATCCCTCGATTCGACTGCTTACACAACACGCAAGCATGGAATCAGCGAACCCTAGAACCAGCACAACGACAAACCCTGCAACCCCATGCAAAAAAAGAAGAACCCTACAACCCACCACCACCACCGTGTGAGCTGCCGCCTCCAATCCCACTGGTCGTCATCACTGAGAAAGAGGTGGAGGGGGCTGATGTGGTGAGAAAGCTGGGAAGGCGGAGGGGTTGCAGCGACGGCTCGGGGCAGGGAGAAGAGGGGGATGTGGTGAGATGAGAGAGCTGGGGATGAGGAGGAGGACCGGCGGTGGTGACTCAGGTCAAGGGAAGAAGATTAGGTGCAAGAAGAGAGTTCTTTTTTGTCCATGGCTCACATGCTTTTGTTTTAAGGGTTTCCATGGCTCACACGTGCCCACCTCATTTCAGTGCCTCATCGTCGGGCCCCATCCAGCGGGAAGACCCGGTCGAAATCGATCGAACGCACGAGGCCAATCGATCGCGTGGATCGATCCTGGGCGATTTTGCCCCAGAGAGCTTAGTGATATAGTAGACGCCCCATCCATTCCTCCACCCATGCTTTTCATTTTTACTTGTATAATTGAATCTATTACATCTTTTGAATCAAAAGTTCAATTTATATTTCGTTTGCATATTCGTGTCCCTTGTGTCGAGAGCTTTGAAACATGCCCACTTTTGAAAACGTTTTGACCAATTCTGAAAACTTAAGTGAGTTTCAACTACTAAAACTTGATAGAATGAATCATAAATTTTGCAAGTTTCAATGACTAAAACAATAAAACTGATACCCTAAGCCCTTAGCCCTAGATCCTATGCCCTAAGGCTGCAGGGCCATCTCCACGAATTCGGGGGCCCGGGGCGAAATACGAAATGCAACCCAATTTTTTTAAAATCATATATGACTTAAGAACTATTCCAGAAAACCTTATGCCTACGCAAAAAAATACATCATGCGAAAGCATACAAAATTTTGATCGATTACACAATGTAAGTAGAAATGAAACTCGATGCCAAACAATCGAACAAAATAGATAACATATGACAAATACTAATGTGGGGATACAAAAAAGTGCCAGATTAATAGGTTGATCTGTCCGTACCTCCTATAGTATGTGTAGACACTCCTGTTGTGGCATCGATAATAGAATAGTATCTTCATCTTGTCTTTCTACAACAGGAAATTAAATTGAAATAAATGGGGCAATTTGAGTTCAATGGATAAATGATTCTTTTTCAATTCAATGTTCAAATTGATCAATTTACAAAACAACACATACAACATCAATTTACAAATTAGCTACTGATATGCGTCTATCTATGTCCAAGAAATTACCCAGCAGTGTCGGCGTTTATCGGCTTCCAAGGCGCATCCAGTCCTGGGCATTGGGGACTAGAGGAGGCATGGGAAGGCGCCCGACAGCAGTAGTATGGCAGCTGGGCCTCTTGGGCATAGCCTAGGGAGCCCTTGAGGGGACGGTGTGCTGGGGCTAGCGCGGAGCATCTAGCATGCCGGGCTGGACTGGAGGAGAGCAGCGGCCGATTGCAGGAGGGAACGGGATGGAAGATGGCTAGAAGCGGCGCGAGCGTGCGTTGCGCACGATGGGGGTTGGGGGTGGAGGCGGGCGAACCAGTCAACCAGGGGAGGGCTGCGGGCCTGCGACCCTAGGGCTCAAGGCTGTAGCAGGAGATTCTAGGCGATAGCGGGCGTTCGCAGACAGACGTGCACGACTGAACGGATGAAGTTTTTCTCTTGTTTTCTCCCCGATCGGGGGCCCCACAATTTTGGGGGCCTTGTGCGGTCGGCCACTTTGGCCGCCCTCATCGACGGGCCTGTAAGGCTGAAGTCCTAAACCGTATACCCCTAACAAATGTAACTTGGTGAAACTTATGATGATTCTCAAGTTTTAATATTTGAAACTCGGTAAATTTTTATAAAGATGTATAAATGTATCCAAAATTAGTCTTGTTAAAAAGGACTTGTTGCAACGAACACGAATATGCAAACGAAACTTAATTTAGACTTTTGGTTCAGAAGATACTATAGATCACATTTTGAGATAAAATAAAAACA